CATCCTCAGGTAGTGTAGAATCAAGTTTGTTCAAATCATGACCCCCGGGGTAGGGCGGGGCCAAAATGGCCGATCAAAGTTTTACATAGAAATATACAGGAAAATTCTTTAAAAATCTCCTTCTCAAGAAGAGCAAAGCCATAATTGTTCATATTTATATGGAAGCATCCTCAGTTAGTGTAGATTCAATTTTGTTCAAATCATGACCCTCAGGGGTAGGGTGGCGCCAAAATGGCCGATCAAAGTTTTACATAGAAATATACAGGAAAACTATTTAAAAATCTTCTTCTCAAGAATAGCAAAGCCATAATTGTTCATATTTATATGGAAGCATCCTCAGTTAGTGTAGATTCAAGTTTGTTCAAATCATCACCCTTGGGGGTGGGGGGGGGGGGCAAAATATCCGATCAAAGTTTTACATAGAAATATACAGGAAAATTCTTTAAAACATTTTTCTCAAGAATAGCAAAGCCATAATTGATCATATTTATATGAAAGCATCCTCAGGTAGTGTAGATTCAAATTTGTTTAAATCATGACCCCTCGGGTAGAGCAGGGCCAAAATGGCCGATCAAAGTTTTACATAGAAATATATAGGAAAATTATTTTAAAATCTTCTTCTCAAGAATAGCAAAGCCACAATTTATCATATTTAAATTGAAGCTTCCTCAGATAGTGTTGATTCAAATTTGTTCAAAATCATGACCCCTTGGGTAGGGCGGGGCCAAAGTGGCCGATCAAAGTTTTACATAGAAATATATAGGAAAATTCTTTAAAAATCTTCTTCTTAAGAATAGCAAAGCCATAATTGATCATATTTATATGGAAGCATCCTCAGGTAGTGTAGATTCAAATTTGTTCAAATCATGACCCCCGGGGGTAGGACAGGGCCACAATGGCTGATCAAAGTTTTACATAGACATATATAGGAAAATTCTTTAAAAATCATCTTCTCAAGAATAGCAAAGCCCTGATTAGTCAAGGGACTACTTTTTAGCTCACCTGAGCCGAAGGCTCAAGTGAGCTTTTCTGATCAAAATTTGTCCGTTGTCTGTCGTCGTTGGCGATGTCGGCGTCGTAAACTTTTCACATTTTCATCTTCTTCTCAAGAACCACTAGGCCAATTTCAACCAAATTTGCCACAAAGTATTCTTAGGTAAAGGGGATTCAAGTTTGTTCAAATGAAAGACCACGCCGTCTTCCAAGGGGAGATATTGATGAATTAGTGAAAAATTAATGGCATTGTAAAAAAATCTTATTCTCAAGAACCACTGGGCTAGGAAAGATGAAACTCATGTGAAAGCATCCTCAGGTAGTGTAGATTCAAGTTTGTTCAAATTATGACCCCCGGGGGTAAGGTGGGGCCACCATGGCCGACCAAAGTTTTACATAGGAGTATATAGGGAAAATCTTTAAAAGTCTTCTTCCCAAGAACCACTAGGCCAGGAAAGATGAAACTCATATGGAATCATCCTCAGATAGTGTAGATTCAAGTTTGTTCAAATCATGACCCCTGGGGGTAGGGTGGGGCCACAATGGCGACCAAAGTTTTAAATAGGAGTATAACGTGAAAACCTTTAATAATCTTCTTTTCGAGAATCACTGGGCGAGGAAAGATGTGGAAGCATCCTCAGGTAGTGTAGATTCAAGTTTGTTCAAATTATGACCCCCGGGGGTAGGATGGGGCCAAAATGGCTGATGAAAGTTTTACATAGGACTTGAAAGGGAAATCTTTTAAGATCGTCTTCTCAAGTACTTCAAAGCCATGATTAGTGATATTTATATGGAATCATTCTCAGGTAGTGTTGATTCTAGTTTGTTCAAATTATGACTCCCTAGGGTAGGGTGGGGTCACAATGGGGGATCCAAGATTTACGTTAAATATACAGCTTACTCCACTTATATTGAACTCACTTATTTTGAAATTCCGCTTATTTTGAAGTAAAAATAAATCCCCAGTTTTTGACTCTCATATTCTTTGCATTAAAATACCGGTTATATTGAAATCGGCTATATTGAAATTTCGCTTATATTGAAGCCACTGATTGGTCCCCACAGGTGATAATGAGTTGTTTTCATAACGGTTATATTGAAGTACTCCCTGGTGGCTGTCGTTACGGTTGGTGACAGAAATTATGCCTGACTGACCAGTTGATATAAAATGGTGTGAATAATTAAGTTTTCACCTTATGTGTTTTTATACTGCATGCTCTTACGAAATAAAATTATTCACTGCTAAATTCTTTGTTTCCTGGTATATATAATAAGGAAGTATTTAGGCTAAAAGCAACATAGTAACCCCCACAGATCTAGAATAAACTTAACTTCAAATTAAATACGTACTGTTAGTGGCTAATGATAAACCTTAATTCGAAATAGCTAAGAGATCAACCCGAGTACACTTACGATGAAATACATGCAGCGTTCAGCAGTACTCAACAGTTTGACATCGATAATTTTTTCTCCAAAATATAAATAAATGCGATCAGGGAATAATAATGAAGTTGAAGATTGTCTTATCGATAAAAAAGGAAGAAACAATTTTATTTAAACTTTCAAGGACTAATAGTCCATGTAATCTGTACACTGTTATAGGTAAACGATGACAAAATTAATTTGTTTGGGTTTGTTCTTTATTTTAAGATCGGGATTGAGCTTTTAATAAAAAAAATGGCGTCTTCACGATTTCGCCTATATTGAATTACGGATATATTGAAATAATTTGCATGGTCCCCTGAATTTATATCCGGAGTAGGCTGTATTTTAAAAAATCTTCTCAAGAATAGCAAAGCCATGATTAGTGATACTAGAATTTATATGGAAGCATTTACGGGTAGTGTAGAATTAAGTTTGTTCAAATCCTGATTTAAATTTATTCAAATCATGGCCCTTTGGGGTAGGGAGGGAAACAATGGGGAATCAAATTCAAATTTTTATGAAGTTATATATAGGAAGAAAATGTTTTTTAAATATCTTTTTATTAAGAACAGCGAAGTCATATGCTGTATTAACATGAAAGCATTCCCAAGTAGTATTAAATTCAACACCCCCCCCCCCTTTCTGATTTTTGCTTTTTCTTAGCCGATTTGCTCAGGTGAGCAATGTGGCCACTGGGCCTCTTGTTGATCTAAACTATTCAATAATATACCAATTTTGACTTTCCTAGCCACAATGCTTAGGTGAGCGATGTGGACCATGGGCCTCTTGTTTTTAATTTAATCTGAAAAATTGAAAATTATTATAGTGGATCATAGTGGTAGAGACACTAATTTTTGTTTTCTCTCTTTTTAGATGACAGAAGATTTCCTGTTGTATTTGTTGATTTATTAAACTCTTTTATTCTATCAAAACAAGTCTTCATTTTCTCTTTGCTGGTACGTAATCAAATTAATTAAATGATGAAACTATTCTTCTTAAAAGTTGAAGTCAGGATAATGATAGATTGTATTTGCTGACAAGGTCGTATCGACCATAGAACTTACGAAATGATGACTTTTATACTTGTTTCATCAACTTGTTTGTCAGTTACTTACCTTGTTTTTGAAATTAGGTAGAGCATGCTTTTGCATATTGAATCAACAGATATAAACCCTGACAGTGATAAGGGTATGTTGCTGCATAATAAGGGATGACTTTTATACTTGTTTCATCAACTTGTTTGTCAGTTACTTACCTTGTTGACTTATGAATGGAAATATTGTTAACTGAGTATATGTCATCAATATATCTTAAAGGTAGCATTGAAGGTCACAGCAAGTGTTTTCTTTCTCATGTAAAATTCTGAGCAAAATGAATGAATACAAAATTAAGTATGCTAATAATGGGGGGTACAATTGTTATCTATGGGAATTCCAACAGATTGCTGGAAGACCTGGTCTCCAAAAACCATGTAGATATTGTCAATCAGAAACTCAAGCATCTTTTTAATATCAATTTCGGAGTACTTGTTAGTACAATCAGAATGTTTATGTACAAAATAATTTTGCAAATGATGACCAATGACAAGGATTTAAAAGTTCCAGTTTTATTGACAAAGCAGCTGTCAATGATTTCAAATCGCCTGGACTTTAATCTATTGAGGGGAATAGTTGTATATAGAGTTGAAAAGTCATTAGATTTTTAGCTATTGATTGTGGTGAAATTATGTGATTTCAAATTTTCCAAAAGTTTGGAATTTTTAAGCATCCACATTGCACAGTACTCCCAATTTAAAATTCTTTATTTTCAAGAGTAGCAGGGCCAATATGACTTGGGTGAGATTGTGGCCTATAGACCTCTTGCTCACATTTGACAGCAAGGCCAAAGTTATTTTATCTTTAGGGGATTTTTTATATTAATAAAAATAAAAATAATTTGAAATGAAGATTTAAAAAAAAAAACAAAAAACACCACCACCCTTCTTTTGAATTGTTATTAAAAATTAGAAACATTTCCTGAAATTTGAAAAAAAATATTTGTTGTAAAATGAGAATCAAATAAAAGGAACTACAAAAGATTTTACTGCAGGTTTACTTCAGATCTTATTTGAAATCTTTAAAAAAAACATTAAAAATAAAGATGTTGATCATAGAATATGACATATTCATTTTTTTTTACAAAAAAAAATCAAAACAACTAATATACTTTGATTAGATTCATAATCTTGTAAACTGTACATAGTACATAAATTAATATAATTATGAAGACTCACAGATTATCTTTAAATCTTTAATGAAACCCTACACTTGCCTATTTCCTTTTATTAGCAGGACCTTTTGCTACATGTACCAATGGCGGTCAAAGTAAAATGTCAACAATAAAATTATCTGGCACACATTGTTTCATACACTTATCACAAAATTTAGTAGTTTTTGTTAACAAAAATCAGTCTTTGTGTGCAATTTCTACAATTTTTATGTTTACATATAATTCCTTACTTTTGAAAGAGAAAAAATATTACCATGGGAAAAAATAAGTTACCATGAAACAGCTGAAATTTGGTGGTTATTTTTATTTCAATAATTACAAAAATAACAAAAAATGAAAATCAACCAATATCGAGGAAATGAAACATATTGTAACTTTTAACAAAACACATATAAAAAAGAAATCTTTCAGATCTATTGATTATACAGTAAAAAAAATACATGGCAGATTCATGTATATTACATGTACTTTATAAAGTTGAGCATTTGACATGCACCTTACTAATCTTGTAAATTCTGATAAGTTTTACTATCTATTTTCAAGGGTACAAAAATCACCAAATGCTATTTATGAGCAGCCTATTTTGTGATGTGAGTTTGTGTATTGCACTCCAAAAATGTTCACCGTAATGCTTTTTACTTGAGCCTATAAACACCAAAAATTTACATATTGCACCTTTCTGGAAAATATTATCTGATGATGTGAAAGGCACATCAAGAATGAAAATTTTGGGAATTCACAAAATTGAATGCACCAGTTTGATCTTCTTGAAACTCCATGTACATGTATTGAGAAGGAAATTGACAAAATGATTTCTAATCTTGACTACTATTTACAGTTCAAAAGCACTAAACCATGACTTTGTAATGATTGCATTAATGTAAGGTGAACCAATTGAATTTATATGTATGTCCAGTACAGTGAAGTACTTTGTTGGAACATGTCAAGAAGAGATGGCAAATTTTACTTTTATTGCTAGAGAACTCACAACTAAGGAATTAAAGCAAGGACCTAGGAATTGTTTTTAAATGTAAAAATAAATGTTATTGTTTGGAAGAGCTGTTATCAATTACATGTATGTTTGTGGCAGTCTTTTTCAGCTAATGAAATGAAAATTCAAACAATATGAAATAAGTTATGAATAAGAGTTACATTGTATAATAAATACATTCTTCTAAAAAATATTAAGTTGGTATAATGTAAAATTTAAAATATATTAAGTCTATATATAAAGTTTTTGCACAGCAAATTACTGGCAAATTCATTACAGTGTTTTAACTAATTTAAACAAAATTTAACTTTAATTAACACAAAAATTGATAGCTTTAGTTACAACATAGATTACACACTTTTCTACAGCATTTAGATCAACAAATACCGCATACCTACCTCATCAAATCTGAAATTCCACTTTGATGAGATGAAGAAGGTAGCTGATTCTCAACAGATGAATACAATAAAGGTTATGGAGTATATAAGTAGAGTTTACAATGAATATGCATGTACAATACAACCCCTTAGTTTATGTTTACAATATCATATAAGATGCGGTTTACTTAATGTAAAACTTAGTATGGGAGCCATAAAAAGTACAGAAAAAATGTTTATCACACAATCTATTACATGTACAATTTAAATTGGACCTGCAATTCTGCAATTTAAAAAGGATTTAGAAAAGAAGTAAATATAACTAAGAGCCAAAAAATCAATTTTGTGTTTAATGTTCTTTAGTTGAGCAATATTGTAAACTTTTTGATAGATAAACAAATACTACTTTGTTGCTTAATAAATAACAAATAGTTTTATATTATTCCAGACAATTTATTACATGTAACAAGTACACTCTAAATTATATAAAAATTTACCGTACTCGCCTATAAGTCGGTCCGTCTGTAAGTCCAATGCATTTTTTAAGCTTATATTAGAGGGACTAACCTTCTTAAATACCAGTCTCACCTTTAAGTCGGACTTAGAGTTTTAGACCAAAGTTTAACTCCCAAAAATCCAACTTACAGGCAAGTATATACAGTACAGTAATGTTACCAAAGAAAAAATATATATTTTAGAAAAAATAATATTGCACCTTGTATAAAATTTGACAGCAGCAAAAAAAAAAAAAATTTACAGCACTTTATGTTTAATAATCACATATTATAATACAACCAAGTCGAGTGGACTGTATATGCTTATGGAATCTGCATATCGTGAACAATACAAACCTTAATTCTCATACAACATGCACAGTCAGTAAATTGGAATGGTCATGTGAAAAGTGATAGATAAAAGAATTAAACCAGCTTTGATTAGGAAAAAAAAATCAGCTGGAACACACATTTCATGTAGTGCATTATATCACCATTTTCTCCACATTAAAGACAATCATATCAACTTCTAACATAATGATGCTTTAAGCACTTGACAACATTATAATGCAAAACAAAATCTTTCATCTAATACAAGTTAGACTTGATTTCTACTACAAAGGGACTATTTCTAATACTGTATAGCAGCAAGTCAAGTCTTGTATTTTCCTGTTCTTTCTAACTTAATGTATCAGTTCTGACCTCCTTCATTTAATGCTGATTATAGAAATAAAGTCACAAGTGCTTTAAATTCACAACACCTTGAAGTTTTTATCCTTCTCTAATGTAGAAACATATAACTGCCATGACAATTGTCTACTATACAGTGAACATAAATACACTTGAAGATCACAGTTTACCTCCCCTTTCTCTACCATTCACAACATTACCCCCGCCTCGCTTTCTGTTCCTCCTCATTTTCACAAGATCTTCCCCAAACACGTCACCAGTCCGCAGGGCCGATATAAGTTCATCAAATTCACCTAGAATTCAAACAGCAAATTGTACATAGAAATTGCCTACTTTCAATCATATGCATTTAATTTATTTACTAATTTCAAAAATCCTTTTTTAAGCCAAGAAAGCTCAAAAAACTGTTAAATGCATAGCATTAATTTCCAGGTATATTGATTACACTTAGTGTAAAAAACTTGGCCCACGGTAAATTACGCAAAAATAAAGTCCACAAAGTAGCCCTGTGAGAATAACCCTTTGTGTGCTGACTAGTTTTACGTGCGCTGTAACCTCAGGCCTGAGTTGTTTTGTAATATCAACAAAATTATCACAATGGTGCACTAAAATGCAAATATCTAAAATTGTTGACAACCAATTGCTTGAAATTTGGCAAATATAAAGCAAATGTTGTGTTTTTTAATCTAAACAATTTTTTTTTAAAAATCTTATATTTTATGTTGCCATGGAAACCAAAATTTCAAAAAAATTATTTTTAAAATGACTTTTTAGCATTTTAACTATATTTTTCAGAGAAAATATTGCACTTTGATGAAAAAAAAATAAATCAATTGCTTTAAAAATTCAATTTTAGTTTAATATTATGCAAAAAAAAATTAATTTAAACAATAACTCAATTATAAAGTCAATGTTATATATACCGTTATGTTGTGAAAAGTCATATTGTATACTTATCTGAGTAAGGGATAAATTCATGTAGGTTAAAGTGAATTCTGATTCAAGTTAATGGATTTTTTTTCAGATTTTAACTAAAAAGAGTATAAATTGAAGATTCAATTAGCCTGTAAATATAAAACCAGTGATTATTTTAAGAAATATCGGCAATCATATAAGAAAGTATGATCCTCAAAGAATATGCAGTTTTTTGAGGTTGGGAAATCTTGGAGCAAATTGGCACAACAATGAACTAATTGCTGTTACTAGTATTCATTTTCAAATTAAAGCAGTCAATATGTTAAATAAATTTTAAAAAAAAAATAATAAAATAACATTTACACTAAGTTATAGAGGTCTTATTTTCTAATGACTGGTATCTAACAGCCCTAAATATACTCTAGTAATTCTCAAATCTTTTTTTTAATTTTGCTTTTATTGAAGAAAATGCATTTCTCGGTGGTATTTGTAAAGTTTACATATTCATCAACTTTCCTCCCACAGTACTTCTCTCTCTCTGTAAGAAATGTGGCATTTATTTTAGAAGTTTTATTCCTGGCTGGCAACAATAACTACAGCAGGAAAACTAGTACTTTAAATTTTAGAAATTTAAGCACCTTTAACAGTCATTTATAATGTTTTCAAAAATGACTTCATTCAATGTGGTCACTGGTGAATAACAGTTTTGATTTTTTTCAATTGATTTTAGTTAATGATGGTTGACAGATATGTACCATAATATCAATCAATATATTATGAAATACTTTTAAGTTTATCCAAGTCTAATGGTATGGGTCATGGATATAGGCCAAGTAAGCTCAGTCAGTAGAACATCTGACCGGTGATGCAGGGGCCCCTTCTTAGATTCACGGTCCAGCCGTGCATTTTCTCCTTCCTTGTTACATATTTGATGCTATTGACCCCTCTGGATTTGCAAGTGAAAGTCCTGTCAGGGGCTAATAAGAATTTGGGTTGTGTCTGCAAGGATAAAGATAACTTTAAGGAGGGATATGTAATGGTTGTGCTATGGGTATCAACCTGGGTAGCTCATTCGGTAGAGCACCTGACTAGTGAAGCAGCCTGCTGCAGGGTTCCTAAGTTCAATTCCTGGTCGAATCATAGTTACCATACATTTTCTCCTTTCCTATTACACAAGTTTTAAATGTGCCTGAATTTTTACTTCAACAAAAAATATTATTCCTAATACTGTATGCAGGGAAATTTTCGCCCCTGTTTTATTTTTGCCCCTTTCACCCTCTCCTTGATTGGGCGAATTCAAATTACACCTCATAATTTCCTAAAAAGAACTATGACTGGGTGAATTTAAAACAGGGCAAAATTGTTCACAATTTCAAAAGGGCGAAAATAACACGGGGCGAAAATAACCCTGTATATAGTAATGAAATTTATATTTTATTTCCACTATGGGATTTCTTTGTATTCTTAGTAACTATTCATATTTTCATATTTAAAAATAGACATATCTTTGGAGACCAAAATGCAATTTTGACCATCATTAAAAAAAATTCTCACAGCAAATCTTAGCCTTTTTTCTGTATTCATTTACTGTTACATATCTAGAAGGGATGGAATGCAGAAGCTTCTTGGGCCTTATAAATTTTTAAACTAGAGGACATATTACATATTACTAGGTGAAAACTTGTACAGTGTGTACTTTTGAGTTTGAGAAGTACAATTCCAACAGTAAAACTCAGTTATAACGAAGTCACTGGGACCTATGAAATTACTTCACTATATCTGTAATTAGTTATAACTGTATAAGAAATCAATTAAATTTATTTAGCTTGGTATCCAAATTGACTTCGCTATATCTATATGGGCCATGGCAAGCGGTATATCTAGTCTTCCCGACTCCCGACAGTCCCGGATTTTGATTTTTATGCGATTTCTCGTTTCAAGGTGCATAGAAACTATTCAAACTTTTCAGGCATGTTTACTAGGTTTAAATGAATTCATGAGTACATAAAAACTTTTACAAATTTATGTATTTATTTATGACTGAACCAGATGTTTCACCTGCCAAAAAGCGGTAAATCTAGTACTCTGTTATAAGTGTTAAAACCAAAAACGGACACAGAAGTTTTCGTAGAATTGCAATTAAAAACAAGAAAATGAAGTATAATTTTTCAACAAATAAGCGGAAAGCCTCATTTATATGCCAGATAAATTACTTGCCCTAAAAACACCCACATATTTTCTTTTTTTTCCGTGTATAGTACTCATTGTCACATTATGTTCACAGGCTCTTCGTACCTCGGAGCCCCCCCCCCCCCCCTTTTATTTATTTATTCTTTTTTTTTTAATTGAATTTACTTTACTACCTACGTTAACCTTTTCTTAGCCGCCATTTTTATTTACAATAACAACGCTTTGAACGGAATCGCGTGCCCAATTTTCATATTACGCCTCGATGGAGACGTAATATGAAAATGGAGACGTAATACGGAAAATTTCAGGGTGTCATGTGATCAGCTTTTATCCAATCAGTAATCGACAAATTTGTCTGAAGCGGGATAAATTGGGTTCCCGCACACAAAGGGTTAATAAAATCAAAATCATGTGGCTGGTGTAGCTCAGATTAGCATTTCATCGAAAGAAAACAACACATACCATTACATTTTTAATTGATCAACACTGACACTTATTTTTTCTGCCAAGTATATTTTTTTATATGGTAATGGACATTGTGCAAAATATATTTTTTAGCATGCCTGGGGGCTCAAATAGCAAAGAGTTTTAAAGAGATAGTCCACATTATCGAAATAGCATCATTCCTCAAAATGTTTTTGACTGACAAACAAGCACATTAACAATTTATAAAATTGTTTTAGAGATTAAGGACAGACGAGACGTTCCTTAATAACAGATAATTTTTTCTAAGAGTTTGTCTTTGAAGTATTGCTACTTAAACATGTTTACTCACAAAAAATTGAGGTACCTTACCGGGCATTTCTGCAAGATACCATGGGTAGTTTTTCTTATATAATCCATTGGGGGAGAAAAATAATTTTCCAATTTCAAATGTTTAAGTCTTTGAATTAAAAAAAAACGTATAGAAACTGGTTTAGAAATCAGAATGTTCTTAAAATTTGAATATTTTTCATACATTACGAAGATATAGAAAACAGATTTTGAGGAACGTCTCGTCTGACCTTAAATATCACGTACCACATGCAGCATTGCAAAAAATGTTTTGTTTTGAAATTCCATACACAAGTACTAAGTATTCATTGTACTTAACTTAAGTACTAAGAGAGAGAGAAAGAAAGAATAAGAAAGTTATATATTTAAAAATTTGATGCGGCACTATTCTTTTGGAAAGAATACAGAAGTTATTTTTCTTTTATATTATTTTTCTTTTCATTAAAATAATATGAAGTGTGTGTTTTCATGAACAAGTAGAATTACTTTATTTAGTGTTGATTTTCCACACAGAACCTACAAAAATTGAAAAAATTCTGGATTTTACTTATTTTTTTCAAAAAAAAAATTTTAATTGGTTTTCACAAGTGCACAGAGCAAACTTGATATATATAAAATGTATTAACACACATATATAAATATATGCTAAATATATAAACACATATAAATGATAAATCCCTGATAATTTAAAAAAGAGGGTAGGGGGAAGGATTCTGGATTTTGGGAGGGAGTACATGTACATCTCAAAGATCCTCCTCGCATTCCTCTTTCCAAAAAACAACGGTGTAATCCTCGATTAGTTTAAACATGTTCTTTTTGTTTACTTTTCTGAATATTTTTGATATACCATGCTGAATAGTTCCCAGAAGCCATTATAACTAGCTATTACATGTACATGTTTTCAATCGAACGAAGAAATGCTCCGCCTGCTCCAAATATTTATGAGACACAATTAAAACCCAACTCAGACAAGCGCAACATTGCAGAATTAGAACCCACCGGTCGGTATTTTTAATTACCTTTAATAAGACTAGAGCGCCGTCTTCAAGGTTTATATTTGGAAGTAATGTACCACACAGATAACAAAATATGGGTAAGATGTAAAATAATTCAGATTTGAGTTAATTAAATGATGTTGGAGAGGTCCGAAAAAGGGGCCACAGCAATATGCTTAGGTGGAAACATTCTTTGTTACAATTTACAACTCAACCCTGCATCTAATTATGGCCAATGCCTATACTTTCTAATTTGTTCCTGAAGTGTTATACCTGTTTAAATTTAAAATCTATGCCAATGTACAGCTGACAGCATCGGAAGCATTATTTAGATTAAAGCTAAAGCTTGAAGTCTCTGAAGCTCAAGCCCGTACCCATTTAACAGCATGTTAAACTAAAAGAAAATATGCTGTATAAATGCCTGCTCCACAAACCATAGAATTTTTCATTCACTCATACCCATTGTGCCACTGAGCCTTGCCCCATACCTAAGCTTTACTATCGGTACCTATCAAAAAAATACCATTGTTTTCATACTTCAAAAAATGTGGCAAATAATACTTTTCATCTTTAATTTGATCCATCGACCAGTACATGTATTCCTAGATACCTTTGTTAGATAGTTCCTTCTTATCTCCCTTGGTGGCAGGACTAGAACTTCTCTTACTTCGTAATCTCTCACGTTCTCTCTTCAGCTGATAAAAAAAATATTTCATGTCAATTCTTAAAGTCAGTAATATTTAACACATATACTGCCATGTATATTTCTTCCCTTTTTAAACCCCATTAATATAAATCAACAATTTTTTGCATGCTAAAATTTCATTCTCACTCTCTTATATGTACTATTCAAGATTACATAGGCCAATCATTAAACTTTCTGAAAACTTTGTTTTAGATCTGTGAAACAATCTGGCAAAAATAAGGTGTCACAACAAATTACAACTCAACAGTTTGACCGAGATAAAAATAGCCCTAACCGATTCTTCCAGAGCCTGTCTCTTCTCCTCTTCCTCTTTCTGTCGCTTTATTCTCTCGTTCTCGGCTTTGGCATCAGACATGGCGGCCAGGAAGGAGTCTAGGATTCCGAAGAAGTCCTCTGGTTTGTTCTGAGCTGGGTCCTCACCAAAGAATTCACATACAGAATCAAACTGGAGAGGAAATGAAACACAGTTTTATACAAGCCTTATGAATGATAACAATGGAACAATACATAGTTATCTTGACTGATGCTTTATAAAAAAAACTTTCTGCTTTAAAACTAGTTTAACTGCACTGTAATACAATTATAGAAAGGTTACAAATACAATTTATTTCTCTGTACACCTTTGATTTTATAATTTATTTCTGTTTAAGGATGTACAACACACCTACCCCCAAAAATTCCTGTCGTTTAATTTTCGTTATTTTTGTATATTTAGTACATGACTATATCTACTGCATGTATGCATATTTTGGACAAAATCGTTCGAGTGGTTTTTGGACAGGAACTTCCGAAAGTTACCCCCCTTTAGTTGTTTACAAGGAGAGAAAATTTTTAATCAATGAACTACTTAAACCTTGATTTTCAAAAAAACCAGGTTAGATATAAATATCAAATTACATTGGCTTATTCCTTTAACCATTTAACACAAAAACATAGTCATCTTTTTGATATACACATCATCAAAACAATTTTTAAAGACCTTAAACTGAAAAACTATGAATTTTCCAAGCCTTGAAAATTGAGTATTTTTCAAATTCAAAATTTTTTTGTGAAAAAACCTGTCGTTTAATTTTGGTAAAAAACTTTCTTTAGGTAGCTGGTAGTAAAAATAATCTTCATAATTTTTTGTATAATTTTTGTACGACCAGTTTTGATTTAATAGCGGAAAATTACCCCCTCCCCCTTTCTCAATAAATCACGTTCCTGCGCGTCTTTCAGACGGGGGTCGATCACTTTGTCATATGAATCTACAAATACACATTAAAAAAATTAAATTGGAATATTGCTTTTGCTTGAAAAATATATTAACTTATAAATTTAAAAGTTCTCATATGTAAAGCGTATTTAAATGTAGATTTTTAGGCAATTTTTGAATGCCCCTATCACCCCCACCCCTTCCTATTTTGCATCGCAGACCATTAGCATTTGATTAGCGTTTGACGAAACGTCGTTTACAGTGCAAATATACTGGTATTTCGTCAAGAATCCCGGAGGTATGCATTAGTTTTGAAATTCATGAATGCAGAATAAATATTGACTACTCTTTTTAAATGTATCAGGAAAAAATTACTGAAAAAAATTTAGTGTTTAGTCCATATACGTATATATGCGTTATGCATTCCATATCACATGAAACCTGGATACGAATTCAAGTTTTGTTGAACCTGAATATGTTGATTTTTAATTTTATTTCTTTAATTTTATTCATTAAAAAATGGTGTTTGTTCAACTCTCCTGTGATATAAATGGAATAATTGTAGTTTCTTTCATGTCATTATTTCAAACGAGACAGTATTTGGCCGTGGGGATACATCGACATTTGCATTAGATACATACATACACCCCTCATGATATTGTACGCATTTCTTTCAATGTCGTCGCTTCTAAAGTTAAAATGAAAATTCCGTATTCGTCCACATTAACTTCAATATATCAAAATATCAAAATATCAAACATTAAACTCTTCATCTATTTCATTTTATATCAAATCGCACATTGATATTTTTTAAAATCGTATAGGCTACGTTTTGTTTTGATTCGAGGAAATGCGAACCGACATTGTTGACAGAAAGTCAAAGTTACGATTTGCTGCAATAGAATATTCATAAATGCAGATAATTTCAGTACAAGTGAACAATTCTTTTCAATTCTATACTTACATTGTGTATATGAGGTCAATAGTATTCAATTCCCGGATTTATCAGGTCTTGCTGTAAATGTATCTGATTCTGTGGAAAACCGTAAATAAAGGGAGGAAAATAAACATCTCCTACATTTTCAGAGTTGTTCCTCTTTGATCAGTAAGGGTCTGAGAAGAACATCGATTTTACATTGTAAAAAGTTTTTTGTTTATTTATTGTTGTTTTATTTAAATTAAACAAGAAAAACAATACGTGTATTTATATCGTGTATGCACAAATTGTAATGAAGGTCATTAATCGGAATGTTATATAGCCAATTGTACATAATGAGAATTTCGGCAATGTAAAATAAAATTTTCAGAATAAAAGAAAATTCTGCGCTTTGATAAAAAATACAATTTATTGTATATGAAATGAAATGAAATAAACATTAAGGGATGGTATTTTATGTCTTGCTTTTTACGGAGTTTAATCGGGTTAATTAAAAAAATACTTATTGATTGAGTATGGAACGCACAATCACAGCCAAGCACCATATCCCAATTTTCTTTCATGATTGATATACATCGGGATCGTTTTACTCGTCGTTTTGACGCTTTATTTTTGACGTTTAATTTAACGTCACGTCAAACGTTCAATTGAAATCGCAAGAGTTATCTCCCCCAGTGTGTTGTACGTCTTTAAGTAATGTACCTTTTTCTTGATTTCTCCCTTTGCTTCCTCCATCTCTGAGAAATTGTAGGATGCTAAATTGTGGAAGTTTGTCATAACAGACACAAATTTTCTGCTGTTCATCTCTCCTGTATTGTCAAAGAACTTCAGCTCCTAAAATTCATACCTGATCTTGTGAATTACTTTGAACACTAACTACTATATATAATCAGGGGTTCAAAATTTTTTTTGTCATGGTCAAGTCCGGGACTTAAAGAGCAAATTTTAGGCAAGTCCGAGGATGAAATTTCAAAGTCCATATTTACCTATACATCATTAAATTTATGTTACTTATAATTTATTTTCATTTGTTGCATTGAATGAATAAAGACTATATGTATTAATATATGTTTTATTTTTTTCTCCATAAACTGTCATATAGTCATACATGAGTATTTCAACACAATACCAGACTGATAGGTTACTGGTACATTACAATAACTTTTACAAATACTCACTACTGAATAAACCATCTGTTACAATAAATAGAAATTAGAATGTGCTGTAAGTCACAGCTAAAACGAAAATTTAACAAACTCATTTCCGTTTGTCATATAGGAGGAAACACGAGAAATTGCGTAAGAGCAAGAGTCTAACCGCAACGGAAAATAAAAAGACGGATTGTATTTTCGAAATGTTCGTAATGTTTTATGAGTATTTTAACGCCCACAAACCCACATTTTTACTGAATACATTTGAGAATTTGCTTTATTTTTAGCTTTACGATCATTGTTTTTAACTTATAAAAAAAGATTAACAAGAAACATAGCCAAGTCCCAGGACTTTGGTGAATTCTAAATGCCGAGTCCGGATCCGGAATTTGTTAGTCCGGGACGTCGGGCTTGAGGAATTTTGAACCCCTGATAATAAATTTTATCTAATACCATGTCAAATAAATCATAGAGATTGAATAATGTATTGTAGTAAGAAAGGAGAAATGCATGAAGAAAACAGTTGGCTGGATGGGGAATCAAGCCTGGGACCCCTAACCACTGAGCTATCCAGATTGATATCCATGGTCCGTAGAGCCCAAGCTTCTACATTATAAAAAGATCTTCCAAATTTTAATGTTTTACACATGTAAATGGAAAGATTTTTACCTTTTCTATGCTGTCCAGACCTGACTTGATGTCTCCAATATCTTTGTCTAACTCTGACATACTGAAACGGAAAATTAAACTTTTAATTTATATGTCCTAATGGTGATCTGTACATCTGCAAGCACAATTTCACTTCAGTGATATACATGTACAGTAAAACTTGTTTAGAACAAACATGGATTTTGCGAATTCATGAATAAAGAGAAGTTTTCTTTGATCCCCAATGGAAATAAATCAAGAGTTCCTTATACGGATATAAAGAATTACAGATATGGCAAAGTCATTCCACAGGTCCCAGTGACTTTGTTATAACTAAGTTTTACTGTATAAGCATATGGTAATAAAGAATGTCCATAAATGCTCCTCACCTGACTTTGGCAGCCATTCTGACATTGGCTAGTTCAGTATCAATTTTCAGGATGCTTGGAAACTGCAAGAAAGAAAAGACAAAGCCATAAACTTACAAGTTTACCAGTACAAAGTCATTAAACTACAGTTTACCAACAAATATGAGTTTTGATGGAATTTGTACTGCATATGTGTCCTTTGTGATGAATCAATATCCTGTTGTAAAAACTGTAACCTAGCTATTATTACATGTACTTTTTTCTAAGTAAGCTCTACATGATTTTGATAACTTGTCCTCACCTTTTTCTCCACGAGATCTACCAGATAGTGAAGTAGCGTGACGTGTTTACTGGTGCTGGACTTAGTGTCTATCAGATTTCCCAGGCTACTGATTCTATAACCAGAGGCGTTCCCGCGCTGACCTCTGTTCATGAAGTTTCCCAGGGCCAGGATTATCTCCAGGATCTGTCTCAGGCTTCTACTCTTCATCAGTTCAGTGGAGGCTCCTTTTATTGCTATCAAATGATAATTAAGGAATGTCATGATTATGGGTACTTTATTTTATACATGTAACATATTTCAATTCAGAAATTAACTAGCAGTTTTACTAGGTTTTGTAGATCACTAAATTTTTGCGACATCATTTTTCCAAGAGATAGTCACTATCACTCTTGATAAGCAAGACAGAATTTTCATGAATTGTGGTTATTGCTCTATTTAATCTCAATGAATACCCCTGGTACACAAGAATTAAATTCTCACGAGCACACCGTCTCGCATTATTACATGAAAATGAAGTTCACGTGAATAAAAAGTGATTTACAATATTATATCTTACCTTCAACTTTGGGTCTAATATCCGACATTTTTTCGGGGAATTTCTTTTTGAAAAATAAAGCACTAAGTCTTCCTTCATAATGATTAATCCTTCCAAAAATAAGGAGAAAAATTATAGCAATATGCAGGTAAAAGTTAAAGATTTTTTTTCATGGCAAAGTAAGAGTTTACAAAACTTTAAAAAAATATTTTTCTTCAATAATAAATGTATACTTGAAGATTTCTGGTCCATTACCTGCTGGCTTCATACAGGAATCGGTCAGCCCTGGCCATGTGTTCTATCTCCTTACTGTACTCTAGTAACATCTGAGTCTCCTCTGATGTTGGTACAAACTTCAGCAGCTGAAATATTTCAATATACCCTTCAGTAAAATTACTTATCCTGTTCAAGTTTTAAAGACAAAATTCCATAGTCAAAGTTTTCACTTGCACTTCATAATTGAGTTATTAACTTCATAGGAAATACTGTTAGCACAGTTAAAGTGAAAATGCTAAAAATTAATTCACACTTCCTGGACAGATTTTCATTGTTTGTAATCATAATGTATTATGAACTTATCAAATATAGTGGATTATATTAATAACAAATTCAAAGTGTGCTTTACTGAAAATGAAGGAAGTTCAGATACCTGTTCTAACATATCCTTAGGTAGGTCTTCCCCACTATCCATGGTCAGTATGGCTGATATGACCTCCTCATTGGTCATCTTGAGTTTGGACAGCAGGATTGTACAGTTCTGAGCTCGGCGGCCATCGATGACTGACAGCTCCTTATTAGCCTTAGATTTATTGGATTCTCCTTCCTCCCCCTCCTGATTCTGCTGTTTCTGATATGCTGAGAAAGTCTTTTCAAAATCCTCCAGGTCTAACTGCCTGTATAACTATCAATAATAATTTTTTTTCCCATAAATGGATTGGATTGAAAATGGCATAAAAGCTCATTTTAAAGGGAGAAAACTCTGTTATGAGAAAAAATTTTGCGAAGTTTATATATAAAGTAACTGAATATTGAACCATTTCTTACTTTTACTGGATCAAGTCTAGACCACACTGTGCCAGCAATTTTTGCCTGAAAAAAGTCAGTTTTCCTCTTTATCCTCTGTATTTCATCAAATTGAATTTATCACATCATTTAAAATGAAAATAATTTTGTTAAGAAAGTACACATGTATTTCTCACCTCTGAGAGTTTAGACCAGTTGAGGGATTTCATGGGATTTTTTGGACGAGGTATATTGGAGAATTTCTGAGTGCTGCTACCACCACCTATTGGAGGAGGTGGAGGGGCACCTGCAAGAAGTGAACATTCTTCATAACTCTTCAACTCATCATTTCAATCAAATTGAATGCTTCTAGCTTCCAAACATTAAACTTCATGTTAATAAAATGTGTAAAAGATATTAGATCATGAAAAACTTCAATAATGACTGGACATACAAAAATTTGGAATTATGCTTCATGTGAGATTATTTTCCTTGAATTAACGACGTTCGATCCTGATATTTAAAGTCTTAAACTTTTTTTGCCAAGTATATTTTTAGTTTCTACATACATAGCTTAATTAGAATTTAAATCAAACCAGAAGTCTCTGTCGAGACTGAAGCTCTACTGGTTTGTACTTAAAGCAAAGGAAGAGAAAAGTTCTTAAGCAGTTGGAAATTGAAACTTTACCAGAACAATAAAAAAAGAATAATGATCCTTGATTAAGTTTCTTTATGTTCTTAGTATAGTTTACTTGCATGCCACATTATATTATATTCAGACTTAAACTGTATTTGGAGTAGCATTTTGAGAGTATTTAACAGAAATTTCTATTTTTAGTAACCAAAGCAATATATAATGTTCATAAAAGTCAAAAACTGATACATGTATATAGAATTTTGTATCTTAGTGTAGTCTACTTGTGTGCCAAGTTATATTGAAATCAGACCAAAACTGTAGGAGGAGTAGCATTTTGAAAGAATTTCATAGAAATTTCTATTTTTAGTAACAATAGCAACACCGCTTATCAAAATCAAAAACCAATATACAGAATTATGTATCTTAGTGTAGTCTACTTGTGTGCCAAGTTATATTGAAATCAGACCAAAACTGTAGAAGTAGCATTTTAAAAGAATTTCACAGAAATTTCTATTTTTAGTAACCACGGTAACACCGTTCATCGAAATCAAAAACCGATACACAGAATTATGTATCTTAGTGTAGTCTACTTGTGTGCCAAGTTATATTGAAATCAGACCAAAACTGTAGGAGGAGTAGCATTTTGAAAGAATTTCACAGAAAATTCTATTTTTAGTAACCACGGTAACACCGTTCATTGAAATCAAAAACCGATACACAGAATTATGTATCTTAGTGTAGTCTACTTGTGTGCCAAGTTATATTGAAATCAGACCAAAACTGTAAGAGGAGTAGCATTTTGAAAGAATTTCACAGAAATTTCTATTTTTAGTAACCACAGCAACACCGTTCATCGAAATCAAAAACTGATACACAGAATTAAGTATCTTAGTGTAGTCTACTTGTGTGCCAAGTTATATTGAAATCAGACCAAAACTGTAGGAGGAGTAGCATTTTGAAAGAATTTCACAGAAAATTCTATTTTTAGTAACCAGGGCAACACCGCTTATCAAAATCAAAAACCGATACACAGAATTATGTATCTTAGTGTATTCTACTTGTGTGCCAAGTTATATTGAAATCAGATCAAAACTGTAGGAGGAGTAGCATTTTAAAAGAATTTCACAGAAATTTCTATTTTTAGTAACCACGGTAACACCCTTCATCGAAATCAAAAACCGATACACAGAATTATGTATCTTAGTGTAGTCTACTTGTGTGCCAAGTTATATTGAAATCAGACCAAAACTGTAGGAGGAGTAGCATTTTGAAAGAATTTCACAGAAATTTCTATTTTTAGTAACCACGGCAACACCGTTCATCGAAATCAAAAACCGATACACAGAATTATGTATCTTTGTGTAGTCTACTTGTGTGCCAAGTTATATTGAAATCAGACCAAAACTGTAGGAGGAGTAGCATTTTGAAAAATTGTTTACAGACAGACAGACAGACAGACAGACAGACAGACAGACGGACAGACAGACAGACGGACAGACAGACAGACGGACAAACAGACGGACGGACGACGGACGCATTACTATCGCATAAGCTCTTCTGGTCTCTGACCAGTAGAGCTAAAAATGGGGGTCAATATGCTTCTTTTAGCGCTACAGTACATTTAATATGACCTTTCTGCACTGAAACTTATGTCTTAATTAAACATTACATCTTCGACGTTTTCCCTCCAATATTTTTATCCAATTAAAGCATGAAACTAAATGAACTCTTAAGTCTGTTTAAAAAAAAGACACTTAAAAATTGTGACTAAGAAAAGGTTTCAAATTTCTTCGCATAATCAATTATTTGACCTTTCTGCACTAATAAAATGTTATTTTTCCGGCATTGAAAATATAATAAGCAAGAAAATTATTTTAAAGTCTTACACTTTTTCTGATTTTAAGCAAATAGGTCAAAGTTATCTTGAATATTTAGAAAAGAACATCAAAAGTGGGGGTATATGATGTACATTTTCAGATATTACTAAAAAAGTGTGAATTTTACGTTAAAATTGGCTGAATTTTTTCCCGGATTTTCAGAACATATTTACTATATTTGTCACACTTTGTGTTGATAGAATTTATAAGAAATAATTTAATAGATATTTCAGAACCAGCATAACATATTTCACTGCAAAAAACAGCTTTGTGTGCAACCAGCATGGAAAAATAGACATCCAAAATTAACAGTACTGTTATAGTTCAAATGGAAACCAGAAGTCTCTGTCGAGACTGAAGCTCTACTGGTTTGTACTTATGGCAAAGGAAGAGGAAAGTACTTAAGCAGTTGGGAATTGAAATTTACACTAGCAAAAAGGAGAATAATGATCCTTGAATAAGTCTCTTTATGTTCTTAGTTTAGTCTTCTTGCATGCCACATTATATTATAATCAGACTAAAACTGTATTTGAAGTAGCATTTTGAGAGTAACAGAAATTGATATCTTTATTAACCAAGGTAATAATGTTCATTGAAGTCAAATACCAATACACAGAATTATGTATCTTAGTGTAGTCTACTTGTGTGCCAAGTTATATTGAAATCAGACCAAAACTGTAGGAGGACTAGCATTTCGAAAGAATTTTACAGAAATTTCTATTTTTAGTAACAACGCCAACACCGTTCGTCGAAATCAAAAACCGATATACAGAATTATGTATCTTAGTGTAGTCTACTTGTGTGCCAAGTTATGTTGAAATCAGACCAAAACTGTAGGAGGAGTAGCATTTCGAAAGAATTTCAAAGAAATTTCTATTTTTAGTAACAACGCCAACACCGTTTGTCGAAATCAAAAACCGATACACAGAATTATGTATATTAGTGTAGTCTACTTATATGCCAAGTTACATTGAAATCAGATCAAAACTGTAGGAGGAGTAGCATTTTGAAAAATTGTTTACAGACAGACAGACGGACAGACGGACGGACGCCGGACGCATTACTATCGCATAAGCTCTTCTGGTCTCTGACCAGTAGAGCTAAAAAAACTGATCATTTTCGTCTAAAAAACCTTCCGCCACAAAATATAGTCCCTATCTTAATTCTACTTGAATGGAATTTAATCGTGGTTTTTTCATTGAATATAGTTTAATTTGCATTGTAGAATTCAGTTTTATTGTAAGAACCTAAAAATGATGTTTAATTTTATGAATAAAGGACCTGCGCGAAATACGCTCAAAATATCAGGATCGAACGTCCTTAAGAAAGTTTGCAGGTAAAATTTTGTGTCCTTAGCGTAAGCTGTGGACCAAAATCAAGTGAAGGATATAAGGTGATGTGATGACAAGCTGATAAATTACTTATGTGTGTCCTTAAATTATAACATTGAATGGTAAGGTGGCTCCCTATCTCACCTGGGGCAGGTGGTGGAGGGGGAGGAGGTGGTGCCCCGATAGGGGGTGGGGGTGGAGGTACGTTAGGTCTGATCACAGGAGAATTGACACCGAGCTCTATCACGGAGGGAGTGGACAGTCCAACCTTGGCGTCGTCAGGTAGACTGCCTGTCTGGACTAGATGTGTAAGCTTCTGTCTCTCTCCACGCTCACTGCAAAGCTGAAAAACACGAAATATCAAACTTTTTTTCTATAATCAAAAATTCAACGTGATCCATATTTCAAATGAGATGTACCATTTTGCCATCAATGATTCTAAAATATTGCACAGGATACATGTAATTCATATTTACAAACCTGGGAAGACAGATTTTGGATTTGCTGATTAAGTTCATTTATTGTTTGTTTTAATTCATTTTGAGCTGCATTCTCCTGATCCAATTTAGCCTTCATTCTGGTCACTGTCTCTGCAAGCTCATCCTGAAAAATACAAAAAATCAAAAATTAGATTTAAAAATAGTTTAGAGCCACATAAAGACATACAGTCAGTAAATGAGCAGGTCCTTACCTTTTCCTGTTCCTTTATTTCACAGTCTCTCTCTTTCTTGGCCACTTTGCTCTGTAAATCTTCTTGACTTTTCTCCATCTCTCTCAGCTTTTGTTGCAAGCTTTTAATGTCCTCACCACTTGTCATTCTTAGAAGTAAAATATATACATTTGAGATTTTTTAAATTATTTTGGAAGTATGAATGCCCAATATTATTTGGATTCATTACTTTTAAATATTCAATTAATGCCAAATTTGAATTTCAAAATTTAAGCACTAACTGTCTGATCATCTGTTTGACATTCATTTCTACTGGAGCACAGTCAGGATCCTGGCCATTCTTCTGCTGCAGCGCCACCTGCTGGACAAGTCTGTCAGTCAAGTTCCACATCCCGGCAATATGGCTGTCATTCCCAACTAAGGGGAGACAATTCATACAGTTTTACTTTTAAAAATAAAGCATGGCATAATATTGCTTGTGATTCAAATATTGTTGAATCTCAATAAAACACATTTCAAAAATATAGGAATCATCTTGCTTCACAAATTATGAAAATCATGATAAAAAAGTTCAACAGACAAGTTAATGTCAGGCCTGAAACTCACATGGCATTAGAAGTAGATGCTGTAGTATGGACATAAGATGCTGGTAGCTGCTAGTCATGGTTAACTTCTTCCTCAGTAAGTCAAACATGGAATAAGCACTCTTAGTGTCTACATGGACCTAGATTCAAAACGTGACAAAACATTCACTAAAATTGATAATCATTTCAGTGAAATCTACTGGGATGTGAGTTTAAATGCTTAACAAAGGGTTGTCTTGCCTGGTGTAAATAATTAACTTGCTGCTTGTTAGCAAGTCAAATGCATATTATCTGTTAAATGTGTTTTTTTAAAATACAAACTAACTCTTACATTTTCAAATCTCTTTGAAATCTCTCTTTCATCTTCATTCCTTTTCATCTCAAAGAAATCCAAATGTCTGAAAAATAAAGCAATAAACGTTCAGACTGTGTCTTCCTATGCACCATTAATTTCATTTCTCTTGTTTGTGACAGTGTATACAAATCTTATTATTGTTACCTATCTAAGGTGGCATTTTCGTGCTGCTTTCTCATCTTATCAATCACAGGCTGAATACCTAACATGAGAAACTCATAACGGAGATGAAGACGAAACTCTAGATGTTCCTATAAAATGAAGAGGACACAATTCAATATTTCTTTTCTTTCCTTTTTCTTTTGCAAACTCTATATCGTAAACTTTATGTATTAAATTTCAGCAAAATCACATCGAGAACTATATAAAAACTCTTATATTAGTGCCTTCAGTATACATTTATACAATATTTCCTGAAAATTGGAGTTTGGCAGTTTTCACAAAATCCACCCTATTTATAGTTGCATCAACAATTGGCAAACATATATTGCAGAAAACATGTACTAGTACCCAAAAAGGACTTCTTATAAATTAAACCAAGTAATCCCTTGTAAAGATGAACACTGGAACTCACCTTTCCCGGTCCGTATCTAAGGGCAGCATTAATGAATGACATTATGGCAGTTTTCAAGTTGACCTCTTCCTTGTAAATTCCTGTACTTCTGTCAAGGTCATTGATCAAGGTCTATATTAAAGCAAAGCAATAAGCCAGTCATTTATTGGAGTTCACATTTAATTAATTACTGAATATCAAAAAACTAATCATATCATTTTAAAGAACTCAACTGCCTATACTAAAAAAATGCTTTTTTTCAAAAGTTCATTTTTGAATTCTCTTTAGGGGAAATTTTACCTGGAATCTGGTCCTCTCAGCAGCAAACTTCTGGTAATGCAGCATGGCCTCCAGTACCTTCTTGTGACCCCCAGGAACCAGGCACATGGCACCGAGAATTTCCAGGACTGCTACCTTGGTCCTTATGTTCTCCGTTGCTAGGCTTTGAGCGATGATGTTGATGCAGTTTGGATGAGCAAGCACATGAGCTCTTCCTTGCTATTTGTTAAAAAAAAATTTAAAAAATTATATATACAAGGGTTGTCCCAAAATTTCATAGACTGAGCTCATATCTTTTAAAGAAATTAATGTATCTTTATAAATTTTTTAGGGTGGATAAAGCATGCACTTGGCAGATAAATTACGAAGTTTTATCATGTTAACTTGAAAACTTTTCGAGTATAACATTTAAAGTGATATAGTTCTCTAACACCCGGAGCAATCTGCTACGTCAAAAAATACAAATGTCAATTGTTCAAATTTTTGGAGAAAATATTTCAATTACCAAAATCAAATTCTGAAATTAAAAGAAACGGTTATAGTTATAAATGTAAAATATCTTAATTACTATGATATGATAAAACATTAAAATATGTAAACAAATTTAATATATGCATGTACAGGTATGAAATAGTAATAATTTGAAAACGCTATATTTCTACGGGCTTTTCGTCTGTTTTCTCTTATGGATATGCACAATTGAACTCTTGCCCATTTCTTAGCCCTGTCTTTTATTTTAGTTTCTGTTATTCACATATACATAGAGAAGCTGTTTTATTCATTTTAAATACTAAGGAAGTGAAAAAGTTTCCTAGTCTACCAAACATTTATGACTGGTACATTTCTGTAAGAATGAATTCATGAACAAAACACTTGATCACAGTCCAGTGTGCCGCCTGGGCCAACGCAGCCGCCATTTTAAAAAAAATTCGGACTTCAACCCCATGTATATAAAGCGTTATAAAATTCATATTTATCAAAGCATAAACACCAAAATTTGAGGAAATATAGTTAATAAAACAGTAATGAGAATTTTCATTTCCATTAAAAAAAAGGTAGTAAATACTTTTCCGCAGGATTTTAAATATTATATACCAAATTCTCATTGCAACTTTTGGTATTGCGCTGCCTTCCTACACCAGACAATGAAATGTGTCTTTTAAATTGGAATAATTTGTGTAGTTACTCCATATTTTTCCATAAATTTATTAGATAGTGTTTGTTTAATCTATATACGAAGTTTCATTAATGTATGACGTAGGGTTCCTACAAAACAACGCTTGTCTACGGAATTTTGGGACAACCCTCGTATACAGTTAAGAATACAAAAGTATCCAGGCAAAATATGAACTACTAAAATCACATGTGGATTTTTTTTTTCAGCTTGAAGTGAGGAATTTTAAAATAAGAATTCTATTTACAAAAATATGGGATTCTGAATACCAGATATATCTCTGATGAATATTTGTCAAATAAGAAAATTTTATTTAATTTAAAAAAAATCAAACATGTCTTACGGAATTGTTCATGAGAGCCTTGAGACATCCTATGACAGAGGTGTGGATAGAACTTTGACACGTTTTATAATCCATCGTCTCCAGGAACTTCAGCAGGCTCTGAAGACCTTCTTGTTCGCTGAATCGTGTAACAAAGCTGTAGAATATAGGACAGTATTGAACATATTAAGATTACACAAGATTTTTTGAAAACATGTTTGATCATGTCTCATTCCTCTTATAAGTTTTCATAATTTCTTGAACTCATATTCACCAATCTCACACTAAAGTAAATACTTTTTGAAAAAAAAAATTTGCATATAAAGTAGAATTTGATGTAAAATTTGAAATATGCATGTAAATTCATCCACAGACCTCATTGGTTGTGTTCTAAGGGCTGTCTTTAAGTTGTCCACTGTTTTGGTTCTCAGCTCTTCCTCTTCAGTGTTGTAACTTAGGAATATCTACAATACAAAAGTTTTTTCTATGTTTTGCATGCCTTTAATTGAATAATACTACAGCATTGGCAATTTATCAATTTTAATATATCACAATTTAGAATTGTTCAGTATGTTTCACAAATTCATGAATTCAAAAAAATCACCTTACAGTCATTAACATTATTATTAAACTTTTGGTAAGAGTTATTGCCCATAAAATCTGTTACATTATGTACAATATGTAGTCATATTACTTCATGTAATAAATTTTTATGCACTGAAAGTCAGCACATTTTATTTTTTTAAATTTTCAAATACTTTGATAAAAAGAAATGGAGTGGACTGCATTATTGTATCTAACTATTTACATGTCATTTGCAAATGAAAATCAAACTTACAGATGAAATTCACAATTTTTGTTCCCCTCTCATAAATGCTATATGCCAAATCTGGCCAGTGGTCTCAGAGAACAAAAATGTTCTACAAAACCAAAAGACCAGTACAAATAATGTGAGAATGTAATGGATTTATTCATAGAATATTCAGTGTGAATTGATTTTTTGGCATAAGATATCATCTAGAAAATTAGATCTTAATCCATTATAGCTTAGAGTTGAGTGTGTACATGTATGTGTTGTGAACATTTAATATATTCATAATTTAGTGCAGTTGTATGTATTATGTTGTATGTTGCACCACCTGACTCATGAATAAAGTGCACTCTGTGTTTATGTTTATTAGGCTTAGTTCATCAATGTTTATTTTGATCGAGTTCATAAGTAAGTGCACAAATGACTGCGTAAAAGATGCCAAAATATGAATCCAGCTGGAATAAGTTTACAAACACAATATCATATCACAAATTCAAAACTGCATCTCTTTCCATGTTTTATGCTCAGTCTATCTAAAACACAGCACAGTCTCATGTATCTTTAATTTCAAACTCTGTTGATGAAGTTTCAGTCATCTTAAATTATTCCAACCCTGGACTCATGATTACATACGTATTTACCTGTACATGTATATCCACATGCCATACCTATTTAGTTATCATGGTCATTTAATTCATCAACATTGATTGATTGAATCTCAGAACAATGTACTTTATCTCTGTGAATATTTGCAAGAGTTATGGTTTACCTGGATCTTACTACAATAAAGCTGCCATTTTTTCTCGGGTGGAAGATTAAACAAAGCATCTCTATGTGGCTTATCCACATCCAGCTCTTCCTGCAATATGGATGTGACAAAAATTAAAAAAATCTGTATAGATCAGTGAAATTTATTTTTATAATTTATGTACCCTCTCTAATTTTCATAAAATATGTCAGTCTCTTATAAATATATTGCAGACTCATTGATCAATGTATCAAATGATTAAATGTTTATAAATGGTCAATTTTAACCTCTTTTAATCTGATAATTTGAACATTTACTGAACCAAATTGAAGAATTAATCCATACTATAAATCACATGTTGATTTTATGCAAGAATATTCAATTACCACAATTTCTGCAAATTTTTCGTCGATTTCTTTTTCGTCACTTGGCATGGGCACCTCCACCTCCATAGCCTTGAGGGGCGTGTCTCCGTCGATGCCATAAGTTATTTCTGGCGGTCTTCCTCCAAAACACCAACACATGCTTTTCTTTGGTGCCGGCATCGTGGCTGACACTGGTTAATTCACCATAGGACACACTGTAATCAATAAAACAGGATAACATTGAGCAGAGAGCTCATAATGACAAAACACTAGGTCTGCACTCTGTACAACATTCCCTCTCTGTTAATAAAAAAAATAATTCGCAATGCTCCTCTTAAAGTAAAACAATATAAACTGATCTGCTGACTTGAAGCAAGGATGTGTACTCATTACCAGTCATTGTCATGGGTGAACAATTATGTGAATTATTCATCAGATGCTTCCTTATTTAATACAACATCGATTGAAATATATATTACAATAAGTACTCTGTATCTTTTCCACATTCATAATTAATGATCTAGTCTAGATATAAATCTGGTTTTTAATTATCAATTATATTCAATAAAAACGCTTCAAGTTCTCACGAGTTATTATTAATCAGTGAAATTATTTTTTTTTTAATGTTCATGACATAGAATTTATAATTTTCTGCTTTTTTCTAAAATATTTTGCGATCAGACAGTTTTTTAATTGTTCAATGTGAAGAACCCAGAACCTTGACAGAAGGCTATTTTTCTGCATCTACAATCACAACATTGTGTTTGTTATACGTACCAGACCCCACAAACTCTCAATTTTCAGCCGAGAATTCAGAAAAAGACCAATGTTCATTGTACATACAATGTCCATAAAATTCACACTGGATTAACTTTAATGACTGTTTTTAAAATAAACTTTGCCTGATATTTGGGCAGTTTCTCATGATAACATATACCGGTATTGTGATCAGGTGAAAGCTCTTTGTGGAAGAGGTATCCATTTACTTCTAGGTGCAAAAACATTTTTTATAATCACTATTACAATCTGTCAAAGATCTTAAACTGATATATGGGTGATGAAGTCTCTAATTATATTTTCATTCTTAGTTATTTTCAGCCACTATGACACCTGGTTTCTAAATGTACAGTATGCTCTGTATCATCCAGCCCTTTACCCTTTTTCACCTGACCAAAAAGAAATTGAGATAAAAATCTAAATAATGTCCAAATATATGATTGTAAAGAAAGGCCACCATCAAAAGACAGCAATATTTTATAGTTTTATGCATTTTTAAAATAAAATTTATATTTAAAGTTGAAGGGAAAAAAAAAAGAATCTTGTAAAGAAACATTTGCAGTCACCAACCTTCATAAGAAACATTTATTTGCAGTCACTGACCTATTAGAAGAATATATACAAAAAAAAGGATGTATATGTTTCTTACCAGTAAAAATAATAAACTTCCTGAAAGCCTTGATACAATGAATCAGCTGAGAGCACCCTTTCAAGATTTTAATAAAGCTGTAGGAGCTCTTGTAAAACAGTAACTTTATCTGAATCATATCATCATTTATTTCAACAGAGCATGATAGCATCTACAGAGGTTATCCCTAAAATATAGATAAAATTAGATAAAATCCGATAAATTAAAACTTACATACGTTCGGTCACCTGCAGGAATTATAAGACCCTTGGATCTAAAATTATCAACAGGGGGGCATAAAAAATGAATTTCCGCTTGTTATGAGAAGCACCTGATCGCAATTGGTCATTATTTTACGATCCCGATTTTTTATGCCAGTAGAGTTCTCCTGTATAATCTAACAAGTCCATCCATCACAAATTAATCAATTTATACTCCAGTGGTCAAGGAGTTCTGCCATGCTTAATTCCATTCCCTGAACCATAAGGCACAAACAAGAAAATAACAATATCCAAATGTATCTGGGAAGTATACTACTCCATGCACCTTTAACACCTTAGCATATATATAAATACTTATATTTCTACATGTTACACGGGCACTGACAGAAGGTAATCAGCTGTTTTCCTGCTTTGCTTGTCACGATGCCCTTAGCCTTCATCAGATAAAATCCTTTATATATACACTTTGCTGCTTTTAAAAAAAGCTCTTCGAAGTTGAATACCCCCTTTATCTCAGTCAGAAATACACAAATATATATAAAAACTCTTTGTGGATATTTGACTCATGACATAAAAAAGGACACAAAAAAGTAACTTGTGGTCTTAAGAAAAAATTGTCTGACATCATTAAAGTACATCCTGGGTTTAAAGAGGGACGTACTCCACTGCTGTTAAAATTAATTTGCCCCATGAAGTTCACAATGCATTAAGATTGGACTATAATTCTAATTAATTTATACTTGAGAAGGATCAAATTATATCCTGCATCCCTTCCTGGGCAAAGAAAAGCAGGGGGTCCCCTTTTATCTGTGTCACTGTGTATATAGATGTGTTATGTAGTCTGGTGCAATACTGTAAAAAGATATGTTCTAAGTGGCAGTTTTTCTTTAGTCATAGTCATTTTTTTTCTTCACATGATTAAAGTGTGTGTCTAAATGTATCATCAAAATTTATTACATTGGTTACTTAATATGATAACAGCTGCATGAAGAAAAGAAGGCCCCCAGACAAACATTTATAGATACACAACTAGTAATTCAAAAAAATTATTGTGCTTTGAGAAATAAAAGCTAAATTTCAACAATCGAAGTTATATTAAACAAAGAATAAGTTACAGTAGACATTAATTTTGGCCCATTACATGACAAAATAAAAAACAGAGATTAAAATTGTGATTCATGTCATGAACAGAGACCACAAAAGGTGGGGGTGATAAATTACAATCATTTTTAAATTTCCTAAAGTCTTGTGATTTTTTGAGTATCAAATTTTATTACTTTTCATTTTGGAATTCACAGAGCTATAAAGCTATTCTATCTGCAAATGTTCATACACAAAACAGTGCATAAACTATTATTAAAAATGTGGGAAAAAGCATGTCCCACCAGTACTTTTTTAATTAAGAGATCTTGATGCCAAAAATAATGTATGGTATGATAAAAAAGGCCATTAACCTTGACCTTGCTCTTTGTATTTTTAATCTACATAAAATGTTCTTAATGAATTAGGGACTATTTCTCTTGGATTATATTTTTCTACATTTATTTAAAGGACAATCAAAAACATTGTTAATTTATGAAAAAATATAATTTACTTCCCAATATCAGCACAATATTTTTAACACTTTAACATCATAAAACTTTATGGTAACATTTGAGGATCTACTAGCCAATTCCTTTCCTGGTATATAGATGCATGAAATATACATATCATAAACATAAGAGTCAACCTGTCTGGACAAACAATTACGAGCTGACCGTCCGTCAATCATCGTTTGTCATGCAGGTCCAGAGGTGTTAGAACACAATCATGTCTAACATGACCATCACAGACGCCCCCCAAAAAATGTCCATTTAATGACTCCTCAGTGCAGTCATTCAAAGTATGCACATAATCTGTACCATGATTTAATGAGTAATGTAATCAAACACCATTGGTGATTATCAAAGTATTACTGAACACATGATTCTGACAAAATGAAGCAATATTCACAGATATATTATGGAATTATTAGAATTACTTGATTGTATATAGAATCATTGATATATGTCAGAAAAAAATACATCTTTGGTATTATTAACTGTGATGAAAATTACAGTGTACTTACATGCTAGATCATAACTGTTCACAATTTCCCACTAATTCCCACAATTTACAATTAAAAATTAACAAAAATCCACCACAAAAATCACCACTAAATGATAAGGACCCTCCACACACTATCCTCCTGACCTAATTCCTATCAGCTGATTCAGAGATGTCAGTTGCACACACACCTGTAAAAAAAGGTCGAAAAATCTCCCTCCACCTGGTGTAAATATCACACCTGCAATGACCCCAACCCTAATTGGGCCACCTCATAAATCAATCAGCCAATACACAAATACCATTGCTCATCCTTAGGTGGAACTATACAACAGGTAACCCTATAATCTGCTGTAAGCTCCACTAATGGTTATATATGACCCAGATGATTTTTTTCCTCCTCTCTCTTTACCTTAGTTCTGTCAATGAAATACCTGTGTTCTTAACCTAGATAATTGCTATTTTAACACACCTTGTGGTCAAGAATAATTATCTATGACACAGCATCATTTTGTTATGAAACATAAACAATTATTACTTGCAAAAATTTTTTTTCAAAAATTTCAAGAATATTTTGTTACATTGCAAATAACACAAAATTGAATACATGTATCAATTAAATGTTAAAACTTTGTTAAATTCTTAGAATATGCCCAAATTTTAAGGAAAATTAATTAAAATAAATTGGAATAGAGTTAGCATAATTTATAAATAAAGCAAAAAAATAATCATAGCATTGATTATTGATTACAAATTTTCTCAGATTTTTTTTAATTACCTTTAAGACATGAACAGAAGGAAAACAATGAACAATTACTCCAACAGAGTAACAATGAAACGACTCATACAAGTAATTTTTTACAAACTGATCATTTTCAGTATAATTGGGTCTGTCAAAACTCCATCCACCAATCCATGATGTAATTATGATTTACATTATGTTAGTGCAGACAAGTAACTCAATACCCCCTCTCAGCTGAAAAGAATTTCGATTTCTTGGTCACATACACACTGAGCAAGTCAATTGGTCATGCTTTTTGTTCCCTCAGTCCAGAAAACAAAAAAACCAAAGGATGGTGACAGGTGTCAGTTTTAGGTGTAGTGCGGGATTAATTACAAAACAGTCCTCCACTTATTTCAACTCGAGCACTGGGCTCTTGCCGAGCGGAGCAGCAGGGAAATAAACAACATTAAGCAGACTACTTATCTATATACCCAGACACAACCCTGGGTATACATAAACTACCTGGCCTAAATCTTAAGTTCCCCCTTTTTGAAGTTAATGGACTTTGATGATTTAATTGTGTTCTTGTGAACCAGATCGTAAAAGCATGTCTTTTTTTTTTTTTTGCGATGAGGAGATTAAAAAAGTTTTGCATGCGATCCTAAGTGTTTTAGGTGAAAATTTAAATGTCAAAATGTTTGCATAAACTTTCCCTAGGACATGCCATTTGTATATTTTATGTTTCACTGAAACGATAAATAAAATTTTGAATGGCAGAAAAATACCCGTTGGGACTTCATATTCATCTCAATAGCAAAGACAACCCACTTATTCATTCAACTTTACTTGATTTACTTGATTTCAATTTTTAAGAAAATATTTTCTTTTAACAGACAACAGTTTGATTTGCTACAATATTTAGTCAGCATATTCAATTTGAAAGGAAATACTTCCTGTAATTTAACTGCACTCTAACAATAAAAAAAATATTTTACCTCAGAACTCTATTATACTAATGAATTTCAGGTGAAAGTAAACTTCCTTGAATTCTACATGTTCTTCTCTTTTTCTTTCCCTCCTTGACAATTTATAATAATACGATAGAATCAACAAATGATCAATTGTTAAATCGTACTCCAGTGAGAAATACCCCAAAATTCTGTGAGCGTAAATTTAATTTTCCTGTTTACCTAAAAACACTCATATCACCAACACAGAAACACTTCATAAAGTGCAAAAAATTAACCTATATATTTGCTGGCTAACAATTAAATTACATGCAAATTTACTTTATGGTGAAAAAAATTATGATTCCTGAAAAAATAACGAGCAACGTTTCTTAATTGGCAAAACACCTCCTGTACAATTTCACTTTTTTTATGAACATCAAAGTTAAGCAAATGAAAGGTTAAATGCAGGATTCTGTCCAAAACCCTTCACCTTCAACTATTACATGAAATGGTCTAATGGTTCATTAAAGACAATACCTGTTTCTTATTTTCAAGCAACCAAAGCAACAGATGGTTTATTAAATCCTTGTTCAATCATACATCTTTTATACTCTTAGCTAGACCTCAGATTCTGTTCTGAGATGTACAGTCTTAGATCAAGAAAATGGACTTCATCAGGTCTGCTGATCAATTATTAATGTAACAGAAGTGCTCAATATGTCTCTTTCTTTTTTCAGATAGAGTGCTAACACATAATATGAGAAATTTTCAACTGAATTCAATACGTTTATGGTTTACAGGTTCTAGAAGAGTTAAGAGTAATGTTATAAAATTGCAGTTACTTAATTAGTAAGGTCTTATTCCCACCATCAATGATACATAATTCCAACTGTGAACCCACTAGAGTGGAAAAATTATTATATGTATCGTCTTTTCTCCAATAAATTGATAGACAGGGGAACCAAAATATTGACTCCATTGATCACCTTGCTGTCACAATAAAAAAAAAATAGAAATGAAAAGAAGAGATCCGAGAAAAACACCTGCCAGTGCTGGTTATTGGTTTCCCATAGTAGATGCAGGTCTTCTTTCATTCAAAAATGGAAAATTCATTATTGATTTTTGTTGGTTCCAAAATGTTAATCATCTATTTAGCATTGTTTAGGTTAAAATACAAAATTGGACAAACCTGCACAGGAAAAAAACTTCCACCTCTCCA